CATCCCCATTGTTAATTTTTATGCTAATCCCTTTTATTATCACATCCTTTGTATTTTTCTAATCATATGAAGATAACTTTGTAGCTGTCTACCTTCCCACCTCCGTGTGCTGTAGAACTTAAACAGATGCCTTTTTTAATTTTAAAACAATCACGTAAACCAGAAGCAGAAAGGTACAAGAACTGGCAATCTGAAATGAAGCTTAAAACTAGGGAACCTGAAACTAAGCTGTAGCCTTTTCCAGCCCAACCTTCTTACTAGAGCTGTATGTTCCATTCTCCTAACAAGTTCTGCTTCAAGAAGGTAGGGGACTCTCCTACCTTGCTCCAGCAGACAGTGCCTGGAAAAAAGCATCTTGCAGCTCACAGTACACTAAAGTATGTTCTTCAATAGTACTTGTTGTATAGGGTTTTCCATCTCATCACTTAAAACCCCAATAAGCCAGAAAAGGGGCAAATAGCTTTCCTTCTGTTGCTGTGGACACACTGTTACCGCTTCATTTCTCAGTTCCAAGCTTAATGTACAGCACTGGAGTGGTGAAACTGGCTCCAGGAGCTTCTGAAGATGTTTCCTGGTTATCTGAAGCAGTGGTCAGTTTGCAGATCGATAGGCTAAAATATTAATGTCTTGTAGCATCATTTCCTTGCTTTGGGATCTCAATAAGAAAAGATTGAGACTAAACTCATAAGGTTAAATTGTTTTCTACCTGCTGTATTTTTTTTCTAATGCTAGTGATACACTGGTCTAGTTAATAAACATATATCCAATTATGAGACTTTACATACAGCTTATACTTCTTAAGATTAGCAACCTGAAATACTGAATTTTCTATAGATATCTCCCGGATGGAAGGAAACCTGGGTCTAGATGGGAGACATCTTCTCTTCCTCTCTTCCCTCTTCGGAAGTTTTCCAGGAAGATGAACTTAGTCTTGCTTGAGAGCGTGATCCCAAACATAAGAATGTGTGTTTGTCAGGTGTGGTGAATTCTGCACCACAGATTCAGCTTAGTAGTAACAGACAGGTACTCGGGACATTTTTCAGTGAGATAGCTAGCTGTCACTGTATCACCTGGTTTTATTGTGGCTCGTGGTTATCCAGGATAAGAGGCTCCAAGTGGTAGCTTTTAGGGCTGTTCCATTCCACTTGCTCTCTTGTTGATTATGTTTTGCCCCATTTTTTTGACAGGATCAAGAGGTTCTTATAGGCTCACTTCATCTTGTACCTTTGTGTAGATGTCACATACAAAGTTTTGGATGGCGGCCCTGAAGGCTGAAAAATCTTTTGGTTTTGTCTTTTTCTCCAGCCTTAACATAAAAGCAGGGAGACCTAAAGATAAAAACAAACAAACAAAAAAAACCCTTTCATTTGCGTGAGACCAGTGAAGAATTTCTTACTTTTTATTTAGGTGCTGCACAGCTGGAAGCAAACATAGTTGGAACAGACATTATGCTTAATTAATAAACTGCTTATATGCTTTTTTAGGATTTTTATTTATTTATTATCACTTGAGTATCATGTTCAATATGGGAAAATGTCATGTGGCAAATTGTGCCATACAAAAGGACTTCACACGTGTTTGGACAAGAAGGTCATCTGCAAGCCAGATTGCTGAAACACAAATGTCTGCATGGTTCCTCAAAATGACGAAAGGATTCTTCAGATCTTTTACCTGGAATGGTTATCACTATGCTTTCTATGTACATTTTTAGATTGCAGTACGATGTACCAATACATTTAATTTCTCTTCAACTTTAGCAAGAAACAGTGGATTTGGCATCTTAAAGCTTGCTGTTGTATTTGCAGGGGTTCTTTGCAGGGTTAGGAAAACAAGATTTGTTTTTGCTAATGTTCTAGTCTCCCTCTTGTGGACGTACATGTAAATGGACCTTGCTTTCTGAGGTGGTGCCTATGCAGCATGTGTCCAAGACATTAAACGGTACCCCCTCATATATAGTGGTGCATAAGTGCAATTGCAAATTTATGCAGTACTATATATATTTCTACCCTGACACAGCTTGTAGCCTTTGAAATTAAAACTCGAACATTAAAATGGAATGCTTGAAGTACTAATTGCGTATTCATGTGGTGGACCTTTTAAATGTCATGTTTATTGGGTTTTCCTTAAAAATGGAGAAACTTTTTCAGTGGCTTTAATGTCATGGAGCTGTTGCCTTGATTTCAGATACCATATCTGCAGTACTGTGCAGCTGTAACCACTACATGATGTTCTTTGGAGAAAAGACTGTTCTGTAGCCTCTGGACTTTTGTTCAGTATTTTTCATTTGGAAAAGCAAAAGGTAATTGTGAGGTAGTAGCAGTGTGCATGTTTGGGGGGGGAAGTTGAGACCAGAAGAAACAAAAATGAAAACAGGCATGAATGGACTGTTTTTGCAGTCAGGTGTAAATACTTCAAAGGTGATAGCATGGAAAGCCTGTCAAAGGCTACCTGCCACTGAATAGAAATTAAGTGTGGTAGTGAGTGTCCTCATTGGGCAAGAAAGTTTGATTTTGTTGCTACAAATTATTAGTTGTAATCAACTTCTGTTCATTCTTTAAAATACGGATATCTGTAGATACCTGTATATGTGTATATATAGATATCTATATTTCGCTATCTCATCAGCTGTTAAGTTACAGGGGCAGATTGTAGAGTGTTTTCTCTATTTTTATAGTAATCTTCATAGGATCACAGGGCAATTCAGGTCAGAAGGGACCTCAGGAGGTCTCTAGTCCAACTTCTTCCTTAAAGCCACCTCCACTATGACATTGCGCTACGTTGCCATCTGGTCTTGAAACCTGCCAAAGATGGAGACTACAAAACTTCCCTGAGCAACCAGTTCCACTGATTGACTGTGCTCCATGATAAAAATATCTCCTCATATTCAGTCAGAACTTCTGCCTTTGCAGTGTTGATGGACTAAATCGAATTAGTTATAGACTGATGCAAGTCTTTTAATTTCATTACCAAGTTCCTTTCTCTTATTGACTGTATGTCTTGAAGGCCTGGTTGCCTTTCATTTTCCTTCTCTCCAAGTAATTGACTTTTTTCCCTGTCATAAGTCTCTTTCAAATTTGTAATATGACTGGATTTATTTCAGTGTGCTTTTAACTGTGTTTACATAAGGCAAAATATTATCCTTTTGTGAATGAGCAGAGCAAAGAAAGGTGAGCAAAGCCTTAGTTCTAGCAATACTCTGGAAGGAGGCAGGAAGTCTGTATTTTAAGACAGCTGCTTTGGTGTACATATGCTTTTCGGGGTCCCTCTAGTGGTCGGTATTGAACTTCTCATTAAGAAACAATATTGGAAAGAGCGACCCTCCGCTCAAGTATATCCTAACAGATAGAATAATCTTCTGACAGCAGATTTTTGACTCAGAGCTATACATTAAAAGCAATACATGATAGTTTTTCAGGAAAAAATATTGCATTTTAAGATACAATAAATTTTAATTGAACATCACTAGTAAAATATTTTAGCTTAAATCTGATTACTTCATAGTGACCAGAAACTACACAACTTTGTCCTCCAATACTGCATTTTTTTAATTCTGAAATCTTACGCTACCAAAGAATAAGTGTCAGGCATCTGGAAAGATACTTTTCTAACAGAAGCTTTTGTGCAGTATTTTTTTCTTTCGAAATACTCAGAGCAATTCACAATGGCTTCATCTTACAAGCATCTCAGTAGAAGCATAAGGTCAATAGACTGTTGTCATCATGGTTTTGAGATATAAAAAAAAAGAAAGAATAATGGGAAAGGTGGTGTCTGTTAAGTACTCACTTCAGCAATTGTAAGAAATAGTAATATATGTAGGAGACAAAGTGTCAACACGTACGCTTCTGGCAACAGAAAACAAAAATGGGATAAAGGACAAAAATATTTTGGTGAGCATTTAGTTTTAGTTCTGGAAAAGTTAAGATTTTTTTAGTATGGTATTTGTATGTAATTCTCTGAAGACTCCTCTGGGGGCGGGGGCGGGGGGGGGGGGTCTGAATGTTGATAATACATATGCACCCTGCGCTGTTGCACTGCACCTGTGCACACCGGCAAGAGTTGTGTGACCCATGATTCTTTTGCTTACACTGGTTTTACCAGACAGGGTTTTGCAAGTATGTACATAGTTGTTGTTCTTACTATTCTTCCTCTTAAATATTCAGTTGTGATTTACAACTTGACCTCCACAAAACTGCATATTTCTTTTCAGAACTTTGGATTTAAATTAAACTGTATGTAGAATTTGTCACTTAAGCTGTGTCTTTTAAAAATAATTTTTGAAGTAAAAAATGAAAGTCTCTGCCACTTTTTTTTTTAAATTGAGGCCAAAAAAATGGGTGATTTGCTGATATTCTCCGCTTTTAGTAGCGTGAAAACTCTGATCTGCAGTTATGCCTGTTCCCTTCTCATTAAGCTGGTCTATGTGCTAAATGCGAGGCCTGTTGCTGGGTCTGTGGTAGCAGCAGGAGGGATGGTCTTTAAAAACTAGTTTTGTGTAGTTCAGAACCAAAACAGAAATGGTTTAGTCGCCAAGCTACTGTATTTCATAGCTGGGACATGTTAAGGCAATTTGTGTGTTAATGCACTACTTGAATTTGGAGGTGATAAAACATTGAATTTTTTTTATTTATTTCTTCTAACTTTTTCTCCCAGAAGTACTGTAGGTCTATATTCTAACTCCTGGAAGAGACTTGTTTAGTTTTCTCTAGGTTTCCTTCTTACGGAGGACAACAATTGACTTCTTGACTTCATTTCAATCAGAAAATAAATCCCAACTCTTAAAATATTTAAAAATTGCTAACCGGACATAAATGAGTTGCTGAATCTGTACATTCTGTTGACCCTTGTGCTGCAGTGTGAATGTGGTGTCTTGGGCTTTCATCCTCTGATTAGTTCTTCTGCAGAACAGAGAATCTTTGCAGAATTGAGGTGCTCTACTTGATAATGCAGTTGGATTTTGATATCTTGAAATAATTTTTTTCACCTGTCCCCTTTTCTTTCAGGAGACAAATGACTCCGCTGATGTATGCAGCTAGAAAAGGCTATCCTCAGGTTGTTGCTCTTCTTGTTGCTCATGGATCACACATAAATGCCCAAGATGACAATGGATATTCAGTAAGTGATTTGCTTCTGTGTGTTGTAATTGATAAAAATTTTAAAAAGCAAGAACCCACAAACTTGTTCTTAAGTACAACTTTCTCAGAAATACTTATTGGTATATTCTGCTTTAACACCACTTTGAGATTCTTTTGCATTACTTGTCTTTGTCTTCAGATTCTGCCATGTAAGAACTTGTGAAGGTTGCATTATTGATTGAACCTCTGTTCTTTTTTGCGCCATATGTAAACTTGGTAAAACGAAGATGTTCTTTGCAGGCATTAATATGGGCAGCACAGTATGGACATAAAAGTGTAATTCTAAAGTTGCTTGAGCTGGGAGCTGACAAGAATCTACAGACTAAGGATGAGAAAACAGCAGCAGAGCTAGCAAAAATCAATAAACATTCAGAGGTATTTAATTTCATTTCTCTTTGAAATGCAAATTCTGTGTTTTGCCTCAAAAATCTGTTCATTAATTGTATTATTTTCTGTAGAAGTATTACTTTATTAACTAAATTATAGCAGCTAGTTGAATACTTGTGCTTTTACATCTATATAGACTACTTTCTGTTATATCCCAACCTTTCACAGGGCTTTAAATACTATATAGTGATGTTTTGGGAACTTTTTTTTTTTTCTTCCCCTAGAATCCTTGACTTCAGATTTAGAATATAGAACAAGGGATTATGCATGTTAGTAATGTTGATATGAGAAGTAGAAAAATAATGTGTTGTTTTTTTCCTGTCTGCCAAAGTGTGTGGGAGACTGTAGATATCAAACTAATTTGCAGTGTATAGTTTTTGATTGAATTTGGAAGGGAAAAGGCTAAAGCTAAAAAGGGGGGGAGTTGGTACTGGCCATCTTCAAAATCCATTCTTGGTAGGGAAGAAGGTGTAAAATAATGTAAATTTGTCATCAGATCATTGGAAGACCAGCCACTAATTATCAATGTAGAGAGAGAGCTGCTGAAGACAACATATATTCTCCTAAAATAAATCTCTTTACTGCTGTTACCAGATGATGCAGTGGATCAATCAGACCAGATTTATGTGTATTTTGCTTTGAGTTGCTCTTGCCAGTGATGTGGCTTTCTGCAGTGGCTCTTCAAAAACGTATAATTCACTCTAGTGAATTGTAATTCACTTTACAGTTTTCCTCCCTCCCTCCCCTTCCCAACTCCAGGGCTAGGCAGGAGGAAAAATGATAACTATGCACAAAGCTGTCAGTGTAGGCTAGCAAGATCAGTGTCTGAGGCTCAGTGATCTGTTAGCTCAGGTTACTGAAAGGGGCTACAAATGCTTTCTGCCTTTGATAAATGACTTTTTCAGCAGGCTACAGCCATATAATCTTATAACATGACTTTCTCTGACGTGGAGGGAATACAGGCTCCTCATACTTGAGAGGTGGGTCTTGCCTCTTGACCTGTGAAGCGCTAACTTTCACACAGTTACTGCGAAGTATTGCAGATGGTATTGAGATATTTAACAGTCATGAGCTTCTTCCTGCTTGGGGGTCTGCTCTTCAGGCTGTTGACAACCCGAGGGGCCATCATATAGACTATGTCTGCAGAAACTGTATCTGGGAGGGGAGATACTTTTCTTACATGTTGTACTGGGTGGAGTTTTTTTTTCTTCCTAACAGCATGTATGGTGCTGCGTTTTAGGTTTGTGACCAAAAGAGTGTTGATAACACACTAATATTTTAGCTATTGCTGAGCTTTTGCAGCAAGCATCAAGGCCTTCTCTGTTTCTCACTCTGCCCCCCACGCCCAGCAAGTAGGCTGGTAGTGAGCAAGAGGTTGGGAGGGGGCACAGCCAGGACAGCTGACCCCAACTGACCCAAGGGATACTCCATACCATATAACTTAATGCTCAGCAATAAAATTGTGGGGAGACATTTTTCCGAAGTGGCCATTGCTTGAAGACTGGCTGGGCATTTACTGGTCTGCTGGTGGGAGGTGGTGAGTGGTGGTAAGTGGTGGTGAGTGACTTCCTTTGCATCACTTAGGTTTTGGGGTGTTTTTTTTCCCTTCACTTATTAAACTGTATGTATCTCAACCCATGAATTTTTTCTCACTTTCACCCTTCTGATTCTCCCCCATCCTTCTGGGGGAGGGTGAGCGAGCCGACTGGGTAGGTGCTTATTGGCCAGCCAGAATCAACCCACTACACATACGTATATGTGTATATGTATATAAAACTGGCTAGTCACCTGAATTTCAGGAAAGTGATTTCACCATCCCTTTAGGTTTATTGAGGTTCTGCTTGTTTTGCTGAATTTTCTGGTAACTATCTCAAAACTCAGACAGGCAATTCAGTTTCTGGAATCCATCACTGATGCATAGTGATATCTGGCAGAAGGCTTGCTTCTTTAACCAATTGAAAGAATCCCTGTCTGTCAGATGTAGTTAACTTAGATTGTCAGTTGTAAATTGCTAAATGTTGGGTCCATACATGCACTGGAAATCGAGACATTAAAATAGTCGTATGCCTTGTGTTCTTTAGACAACTAATTCCCTCGAGTGTGTAAAACTCTTGTCTACAAACCACAAAACCGAGTATGTTGGTGTATTGCTGTTTCTGTAGTGACAGATGCTAACTTTTTTAGACTATGTTATATATACTGTTTTGCTCTGCGTCAGTTCATCATTGTGCTGGAATTTGTAATTCAGAAATGCTCTTGATAAACTCTGTGGGCTTAGCCTTAACTCCTCATTGTAGTTGTATGTTTAGAAAGTGGTGGCAGATGTTTCATGTTCCCTGTAAGTAGTAATTTATGGTAGAACTCTTTGTAGTCTTACTCCTGTGTATTTCTTTATGCATTTTGAGATTGAATAATAATTAATTCATTTTGGCTCCTTCAGATTTATAGTTTACTCTCTTTGGCTGCAAGTCACTTGCAAGGGAAATACCATGAAACGATTAAGCAAGAGGCTATCTACAAATTTCTGACAGCTGTCCCTGACCACAGAGTTGGGTAAATACAGTCATAGTGTAATTTTAACTTATAAACATTTCTTAGAGATTGTATTTGTTCATATCGATGATTAAGTTGTACTGATATATATTGTGTATTGCTTGGAGTGCTACCAAGAGTCCACAGTAAGTATATTAATGTATTATTAATTTTTCAAGATTGCAAAGTTCCTTTGCATTATAAACAAAGAGCGTGCTCTAGATCTTTCCTTCCTTACACTTTGTGTAAAGCATAGTAGAGCCAAGGTCCAATGTCACTTCAGTTCATTTCAGCTCTGTTAAATTTTTATGCTCCCCTGTTAAATACTCCTTGTTGTGTGATTACCTTCATTTGATGTTAAATTTTTGATGCTTTCACTGAATACCTGTTTTCAGCTTCATGCCACCAGGAAGAGCTGTGCCCTTTTCTTTTTTTCTGCATATATGAGAGTCAAAATTAAGTATGAACACCAGTTAAGCTGTAGAATTTTGCATAGTATGCCCCTGACCCTGAAGCTTGCAGGTGTTCTGTGACTGAAATCAGCTCCTGCTTCAGCAACTTCGAAGACCTCTGGTACGGTTTTGTCCCAAAACGTGTTGGCTAAGAAGTCCTCCACAAACCATCCACTTGCCTCCTTGAGCTGCATGGTCTTGAGAAAACAACTTCCAGCGCCCGTAGTCTGTTCTGGTTGGTCAGATTGATTCTTTGTGTCCCTGCTCAGCCAGGTCATGCTGAATTTGAAATGCCATAGTTTTGTATCATTACGCTGATGGCAGTTCACTAGGTAGCAGTTCACACTGAGGTAGTCTCAGTCTCAGACAGAATACCTCAGTTCGGACAAAGCCTTACCAGGTTCTGTTGCTAGTTGAATGTATATGTCAGTCAGATTTTCATTCTCTGGTGCTTCAACCACAGTCATCTTAGAGGTACTTCTTGGAGCAGAGGGGTGAAGGCTTTGCATGGTATAATCAATTATCTATGCTGTCCTCTCCGTTCTTGCATCTTGCTGCTCAGAGGTTCCTGAAGGCATTGTTCTGGGCATATCTCCCCATCTATGAACCAGGTCTCCCATGGGATCTGTCTGCTCCTTGGGGATCATCTTTTGAGTCCCTGTATACTTGCCATGAAGGTGACGTTCTTTAAATAGCTTGGTCTTCTAGTACTCTTCACAAAGATTCGTACTCCTAGATAGAGTCTGTACTTAATGACCTCAGTGTTAGAACAGATCTCTCTCTTTTTTTAATAGGTTTAGGTTATTTAGGAAGTTTCCCAGGCTTTTTCTGGTATAAGGAAATAAAGTAACACTATGCAGTAGTTATCCAAATGGATTTGGTGCTGTTGAAACCTGACGGTGGCTAGAAGACATTCTACCAGTGCCTGGGTAATCTTGATAACTTTTTTAAAATAAGACACTGAAATCCTGAAGCCGACTTAAAATACTTTGTGGCAGCCAGATGTCTAGCTATGCAAATATAATTCAGTATTAGGCAATTCTTGGGCTTCCAGGATTTCACAATGTTTCAGTAGTCTTTTTCTGAACTCTACTGGTTTTCTCTGCATCAGATGAGCAACTGATCTGTTTGTGTGAACAGACATTTCTGTCAAGCTCAAGGATTTTTATATTAACAATAGATAGTTCTGATGTTTCATAACTTTGAGCATTTCTGGTAATTTGTAATCAGGAAACAGTCCCCTGGAGTATACCAGATGCTTGGCTGTTAAATGCCTGTTCTTAAAATATAGCTTATCCGTTTCCACACACACACACACCCCTACCCCCTACTGAGTTCGTTTTTTTCATCTAGTGATAGCCAAGAGGTACACTGATACCTGTGTTGACTCCATCATAGTTCCTTGAGCTGGATGTCTCCTTCCTGCTGTTTGCCTGCATAATTTTCATCACAGGCTTTGCCAGTTGCCTTCTCAAGCCCCTGTTCTCTCAGTTGCTCCTAATGCATCATCTGGTACTGGGTATCAATTGTGCCCCACCATGCAGGGTCGGTGAGTATAACTTACCATCCTTGCTGTTGTCATCCTTTTGTCATCCTTAGGGTAGTGAGTGTAGCTTCAGTCATTGCTGTCTGCCATCCTAATTAGACAATTGTCCTGGTTCCAGAGCCCTGGACTATACAAGGAAATGCACATACCTGTCGGAATTTGCTTTCTTCAGCTCCTGGATTAGGTCCTTTTCTGGTTCAAGGGCTTTCAAGTTATTGTCTGGATGCTGAATAGCCCTTTCTTTGATCCTGGGAAAAAAATGTCCTTTCCTTGCACCTTTAGCAGAACCAAAAGTCTTGAGTTACCCGACGACTCCAAAAACCTTTGCAAACTGGGCACTTTGAATGCCTAAATAAAAAGATTTCATCGCTGCAGGTCATTCACACACTGTCTCCTCTTGCCAGTTGCGGGGCCTTGGCTGTACATACAATGTTTGGATGTGTATGTGAACTGCTTACTTCAAAGACTGGTGGTTGCTGTCTGTGTGTTGCGGGGGGAGGAATCGGGCAGAGGATAACACAATTCTACACAACTTCATGGTAGGGATGATGGCTTTAAACTCTATTAAAATGATTTTAAACTCTTTTTATATTTTGCCTGCTGGGAGAAGGCATGCTCACAGAATTATTGACTTGTTACAGTGTGGATGTTGTATAAACTCCTTCACATGTGATTTAGGGTGTCCATCCTCATAAAGGGTTAAGTATACTTAAATACCAGAAATCCTGGAATGCAAAATTCTCAATGTGCAAACCTGAAATATTTTCCTATGTATTTAGAACAATTCTCAGAAAGGTCTGTTTGGGGTTGGTGGTTTGGGGTTTGCGGGGG